CCCACAGAAGGAAAGAAGAGAACCTGTGGTGTGCCTGACAGCTGGACAGAGAACTGCCAGGAGGCTCAGTGCCTAGTCTAGAGAGATTTTGTGTCAATGCTATTCAGAGAAATGACATATTCAATGTTCATTGTTTTGCATAAGTGGTATCCTACTTTGAATAATACCTTTAGAGTAATTTTATAAAATATGAAAGACCTAATAAAAATTCAAAAGCACTTCCCTTCTTGCAAGCAGTTTCCATTGTCATCTAGATAAACTAGCTCCCTTATGCTTCTGAGCCCACTCAAAACTGCCTGGATCTACTCCCACCTTTGAATTTCCCCACAACTGTTCTATTAATGCTCTAACTTGTCAAAGTGATTTCTGAACCCAACTCCTCAGCAAAACCTTTCTTCATCCATCAGGATGGAGTGATGCTCCCCTCTCACCTGTCCACACTGCAGAGGGCTGTGCCTTTTCTGCTCCACCCCTGTGGCTTTAGCCCTTACCCTCCACTTATTAGCATGTTATAAAAATGCAACAGCAGCTCCCAAACCTAGCTGTGCATCAGAATCTTTCTATCCAGGCATCGGGTGCTGTTCTAGAACTATGGAGTCAGAATTTCTGGAAGATAGTATGGAAATATAGGATTTAAATAAATCTATAAATGCTGCCACGTTTGGGAGTCAATGAAGTATGATTTTAGTTGATTTCTATTGTGTTTTTGTGTTCCCAATGGGTACCTCCTTCAAATTAAGTGCATGGGTATGTTTAAGTAGGATATCTGAAAACGTATCTGATAGTGTTACAATGCAGATTCCCCCATACTAGCCCAGGCAAGTCTACCAAAACTGACTGTGTGGGGTATGGCCAGGGAATTTAAATTTAAGTAAGATTCCCATATAAGAGCCCTGTATAGAATAGACACTTCCCTTTTAGGGTCAAACTAAGATCCCTACAGAGACTGGGCAAGTCACTTCAAGGAACAAGGGAGACTGGGTGGGAAGAATGACTAAAAGAAAACTGTCTCACATGGAAGGGTAGGCATTTCTTTGCCTGAACAGTTTGTTGCTATTTTGCCACGAGAAGACGATCCAGTACAACCTAAGTTTGAAGTTTTCAGAAACTAGAAAAAGGAGAAATTTAATTCCTCATAGTTCTGACACACTATGCCCTCCGTTTCTGAGAGTTTCTCCCATGTGCCTGGGATCTGTGGTAATTTACAATATCATGTGTCATTAAGAACCTGATCAAGTTACTTCTTATGATAGATTATACAGTATAACTGAGTTGCAGGGTTCAAGGTCCTATCGGTTATCCAAGCCACTCTTACCATTTAATGTTTCAATTCTTCTACAGCCACTGATGATGCCCAAACCACTTCATCTCTCTTCCAGATTGGCCTGCACTGCACATCTCCAAATATATTTTGGCAACCTCCACTAGGGTATCCTACCAATACCCCAAATGTGACATGTTTCCAAATAAAATTGTGTTTATCTAGTCTCTTTCCTTCAACCAGTTTTCTAGTTGTCTCAGTAACATCAATACTAACCACTGAAGCCAGAAACATGGTGTGTACCTTAATCTTCTGCCTTTCCTTTTAAAACCTACATTGAATCATCTACCAAGTTTTTGCTAAGTCTGCCACCAACAGCATGCAACCTGCAAGCCACGCCCTATTCTAAACAAGCTTTTCACACCCTTTTCATTGTGAGAATAACATCATGCTGTCTTATGACCAGCCAACTTGATTTTACAAAGAAAATCTTGCTTTTTCTCTATGGGATAAGGCCCAGCTAACCTTTCCTCTGACTGAGGGCTGAGCCAACTTGGAAGATTATAATTTATTAAAAATGGAATTCTCAAGCCAGGGATTTAGCTCAGTGGTTCCGCTGCCTGCTTCACAAGGTCCCAAGTTCCATCTCCGGTACCAAAAATCAGTAATCACTTTCTTGCTTTGGGCCAGGGATTTAGCTCAGTGGTTCCGGCGCCTGCCTCACAAGCGCAAGGTCCTGAGTTGGATTCCCCAGTACCAAAAAAAAAAAAGTGGAATTCTCATCTTAGAAAAGAATTAGTACACTTGCATGAAGTTCAGAATCATGAAACTAGCTTTGGGGGTAGGGGAGGAGTCTGAGCTTTAGCAATGAATGTGGTAGGCTCCCTTTCACGTTGAAAGGTAAAAGGAGACAGAAGAGCAAATAGATGTGTCCAGGGTCACGCTCTCCAGGACCTCTGTCCAAGAATTCCTATCATAGGCATCTCTTGTGGTCTACATCTGGACCTTGAGAGAATCTCATCAAAACAAAAATCCTAGCAGCAATTGAGACCAGCTGGGATCATGGGCAGCACTCCTTGTGCTCAAAAATCCTCAACTGGTTCTCTTCCAATGTCAAAACAATTACAGGTGAGAATATGAAGAACCAACAATCATTTGTAATGAGCATAGAACCTTAGTTGGGAACTTTCAGTTCTTTCACAAAGTACATCAAACATCCACAGATTTCATCATTTTGGCATCCTCAAAGAAAAGTTATACAACTGAACAAGAAAATTATGCCACAACTAATTATTAAGCTTCTCAAATACCTAGTAAAATTAAATTACCTTCATAATACTACAAAAAGAGGGAACACATTTATTAAACACAACAAAAATGGACTTTCGGGTCAAAACTGAGTACTTTCTTTAACAATAAAACATGCATAAGAACATTTCAGGAAATATAAAACAAATATTTTTCTCCCCCTATTTTCAACAGTTTTTTCTAATGCCCCTAAAAAGGAAGAGATAAAAACAAGACAGCAAAGATCTGCTAGTCTGTAACTAAAGAACCAGAAAGAAAATCTTGCCTATTAGCTATCATTTCACTCAAAGGATTGTGAAATGCAAAAGCAAACACATCAATTTATTCACAGTAATCAAGTGAAGAGGTAGACTGTTTACCTTTCAGTATTTTTCCAGATATCTAGTTTGGATGATGAATAAAGAAAGAAACTCTTTAAAATATCAAATCTAGAAAAGATATCACCTAGAAATAAGTGACTGTAATTCACAGAGACACTAAAAATAAGAATTTGCAGTATCTGTGCTCAGCAACACAGAAGTATCAATGCACCTTCCGAATCTTATCACTTCACCAACTCCACATGGATCTTCTTTGTAGTACAATTTTTCACAAACTGTGGAATATTTTTTGACAGAAAAAAAGTCTAGGTCACCTAGGCCATTGGTTCTTGTAGCTCTCTGGTTGGGGGAGATCTAAGCATGTATGAAAATGAGTGAAAGTACTCTATGCTGCTAGCACTTTCACTGCCAGTCTTTGTGTCTATCTGCAGAAGCTTTTAGCACATTTATCAGAAGCCAGACAATGCCAGCTCTTTTGATATTAGGTCTCAGGGTGCAGCTTTCAAAATCATCCTTTGTTTCACTCTTCCTGTATTGGTAAAACACACCCAGCAGGTAGTCTACAGACTGAATTTCAAACATCAGCTGTTAATATGCCCAAAACTGTTGCTGCAAAGGAGGGGGGGGGGGAATCACATTAATTGAATCCTGGCCCATTCTCACTCATAATGCCACAATTATATTTTTTGTATGGTAAAATTATATGAAATGATCTGTAACGCCATGCGAAATATTCGGGTGACTAAACCTACAAGTTTTAAATCACATATTTATTGTTATTAAAAGCAATTATTTTCTCACAACAATTCTACAACAAAACCCACATGGAGTATATGTCAATAATTTAAAAAAATAATGTTATAAGCTTTTTTTTCATTTACTCTGGTCTTCCTGTTGGAATACTGATAATCACTAGCAACACTGTTATATCTATAGATAGCTCAAGTTCTAATATTTGTCATTTTCCCAAATGTTTCTGGGACAGATGTCATATGAACATAACAACAGTACCTACCCTCACAGGATTGCTTCAGGGACTCATTACATCATCTACAGTAAGGACATAAGAGTTTATGGCACATTACTTATTGAGTGCTCAAAACATGTTAGCTATTATTTATATGCAAAATTATCAGCAATTATATTAAGATTATCAGAAGTCCATTATTTTCAATAGACCAGGACAGTTCTTCCAAAAAATGAAGATTCCACCATTTACATATGCTGGTCCATTTGCCTGAAACGGTCCTTCTCTCCATATCCCTGACTGAGTCACCCTGCCTGGCTAATTCTTCCTCTGTAGATTTTGGTTTAGACAGTATTTTTCTGGGGGCAAGCAGCCCCTGGCAGCTCCTATGTCTACATTATATTATATACATTCTAGGACACTCTTTCTACATGCTCCAATCCATACCACGATAGTCTGCTTCTTTGTCCTTATCTCCATAACACTTCATGAGGGCAAAGATCATGTCTATCTTTTATATTACAGGTAAGCACAATGCCAGAATATAATGTGTGCTCAATGACTATACATTGTATAATATCCAGTATCTGAGATCAGCATGATGGAGGCTGGAAGAACAGATATGATATAGTGAGAGTGACTACTGCCAACCCAAGAGAGAGAAAAAAAGGGAAGGAGGAAAGAAGTCAGGGAGGGAGGGAGGAGAAGAGAAAGGAGGGAAGGAGAGAAACAGAAATGAAGAGAGAGAGGAGAGAATAAATGAATTTGAGGTTACAGGGCCAGCTGAGGATGAGGATAGTGAAATGACAGGGATATGGCATCCTAAGAGTGCTGAGTAGAAGTAGAGGAGGGCCAATCATCTCTGGAGAAAATTGGGTTCTGTCTGGTTAAAGTAACCAGTGCCACACCCCAGAAGAGCCACACCCAGATTCACTGATACTTGGACATCCAAGGCCCTGTAGCAGGTGAAGCAATGAGAGCCTGTGTTCATCCAACAGATAGTGGGACTTAGAAACCAGCACAGCTCTCAGGTCCCAGTCTAAGCTTTTCAACCAGAGTATTTGACAACCAAAGGCAAGTCAGGAGCCTCCGTTGGGCAGAGTAAAAGAGTCCTGTGCAACCCATGGACCCCCCAAAGACTTACCGGACAGTTGGGATGTGTTGCACATGTCTGGTCCAGCACTGAATTGCAGTGCTGGGGAAGAAACTTTGATACTTTGGGTACAGCTGATGGTAAATGAATTGGAACATTCTGATTTGTTACAGCAGCTACATCAAAGGAAGGAATGACTTTAGAATAACATCTGACAGCATGGAAGGAATTAAGAGAGAGGGCTGCACTGGAAATTCGAGCTTTATACAGATCACCAATTGCACTCTCTGAAGTGGAGCTTGACTGACCTTAATAAGAAAGAAAACAAGTATCTGTCAGTGCTATATACACAATTCTGTACCTCCAGACTACTGTATTTGAAATAAATTATCCTGTTTCATTTTCTCACGTTACACACTTGTATTACATTACACTCAAACAGATGCTGATGGAAAAACAAAATGAGTATTACAGAAGTGACATTTAATGCAATACACACATTATAAATCAGTGTTCATATGTCATGAAAAGAGATTTTTAGAGAAGCAGGGGATCTCTGTGTCTTTGAGTTGTATTTGGGTGTTTGGCTTCCATCATAATCAAAATTGGCCATCCCAATAAAGCAAAGAAGAATGTGGGAAAGTACAATGCCATTTGCCATGAATTAAGTTTGATTTTTCCATTATTAAAGTACATTATCTCATTATATATCTACATTTATATAGATATTTACATATCTATACATATCTATATACTATAGTTTGAACAGTAATTAGAATAAAAAGTTTTTAAAATTTATAATCTCAGCAATGTAATCTCAACACTGAATATTTTCTTTTGGAAATTAATAACAACATAAGTGAAATAATGCAATTTTACACCTACTTTAAATACAAATGTACCCAGAATATTTGTGAAAAACAATTAGAGCAAATGTACACAAAAATTTATGGAAAAGAACAGAACAGAAAAGTTAATGAAGTATAAACATGGCCATGTTACAGATCAAGCACCGTTATCTGTGGGTGCTCTATATCTGTGGGAAACCTTGGGATCTTGGGGGGAGAGGGCTCACTTAACTTCTATAGCTTTCAATTTCCTGACCTGGATGGTCAGAAAAATACATGTTTATATTTTCTGTTCTCTAACTGATGCATCCTTCACCTCCATAAATAAAACCCAAGAAGTCCAAATTACAGAAAGCCTTATATTAGAGAAGTATGTTCTATCACATGATTTTTAAAATCTCTGTCCCCAAACTGGAAAGCTAAATGTACCAATTGAAAGATGGCTAAAAAATTTTCTCTATAAATCATTTGCTAAGCTAATAAAATCATTAAAATAGTGATGAAGACAATATAACAACACATTAAAAAATACATATGGGACAAAGTTTAAAAAATGAAGAGACAAAATGGGATATTTAATGATTGCTACTATTGAAAATATACCTAGAAAAGGACATGAAGGAAATACATACAAAATAAAGTGATGAGCATAGCTAGGTTAGCAAAAGAGTCATTGACCTTCCATGTCTTCTCTGGTTTGAACATATATCATAAGTCAAAGGTCTGAGTATATTTGTGTCCTCCCAAGAGTGAGGTGATGCAATGCCATGAGATACAAATCATAGGAAGGTCTGAATCACTGCCATAAAAATAGTGCTTCAGCTTTTCTGCAGAATATAGACAGTATTGTATGTATACAAAATAACATTGACAGGCATATCCCTGTGGCCTGACCTCAATCTGATTTAATCTGGGCTGATCTAATGATTCCATGTCACATTCAGCCACAGCTACTTTAAATAGTTTAACAATGGCTCATGGCAACTTTCTTTCCCTATTTCCTTCCCTCTCCTTTAGGTCAGAAGAAAATTCTTGAGGATTATTTGGTTGTATGAACAAGGAGGCTGCACTCTATTTTGGCCCTTTCTCTTTTGATATAAGATACTAACCCTAGGCCCGGGGATTTAGCTCAGTGGCACCATGCCTGCCTTGTAAGTGCAAAGTCCTGAGTTTGATCTCTGATATACCTAAAAAAAAAAGGTACTAACCCTAGAGACCTCATTTGTTCCCATGGCTCCCATTATAATCCATACATGTGTGTGGTACCTCTAGTATGACACTTGAAATACCAGTGAATCATAATGAGAAACCAGAGACATTTATAGCTAAAAGGATACACATTGAGGCCATTATTTCACATATTTCATTAAGTGAAATAAATAGGACACACATATGTAAGTACTGAATAGTTTCTCTGGTGTGAGAAACTGAAAGGGTAAATGGGGATCAAAATGTATAACAGATAATGTAAAATAGGAAGAAAAGGTCCAAAGGGGAAGGGAAAGGGGAAGTGGGAGGGATAGGGGAAAGGAAAGGAAAAAATATGAGAAAAGGAAAAAATGGAAACAAAGTCTTTGTAAATAGGGTGGTGGGGTTGAAGGGAGGGCAAGAGAATGGGGAAAAAAATAAGAACCAAGATATATCATGTAAAGGTACAAATTCCCAATGATGAATGTCATCATATTATATACCTAAAATAGACCAATAAACTTAATGAATAAAAAAATTCTAGTGAATCACAGTTTGCTTTTGCATTGCTCTCTGCAACTTATTTGTGAACTCTATAAGAATGGAGTTGACATCCTAATGAGGGAAGAGACAATAAATAAAACACACAAATAAAGAACATTAGCAGGTAATAAGTGCTTAGAAGACAAATCTAGTAGAGAAAGTGGATAAAAAAAACTCTTGCATTGTGTACAGAGAGGAGGAGTGTGTAGTTTTATCTAGGTAGTTGAGAAGGAATCACTGAGAAGGTAACATTTAAGCAAAACTGTCAATACACTTCAACTTTTTGATTTGACCCAAAGAGGCTCTAGGAGATCTCAAGTCTTCTCAGTGTTTTAAAAGCCTGAAGTCTAAGATGAAACCCAACAGTAGATAATTCGATTTTCTGATTCTGTGCAGTACAAATGACATGAAAACATTTAAGATTCAAAAAAGATAAATCAATTAATATATTAAATGTTCAGTGCACTGACAGTTCTAAATTAATGTGAATAAAGTCAGTTTTCTGTATCTGCGGGATCTTCATCTAGGGATTCCCATGGATCAAAAAAAATTTTTTTTTAAAAACCTGCATCTACACTGAATGTGCAGACTGTTTTCTTGTCATCACTCCCTAAATAATATAAGGTAACAACTATTTACACAGCATTTACATTGTATCAGGTATAAGTAATTTAGAGATGACTTAAAGTGTATGGAAGGATGTGCATAGGTTATACAAAAATACTACGTCACTTTATTTAAGACACTTGAACATCTGCAGATTTTGGAATTCTCAGGGGACCCCAGAACAAATCTCTCATGGATACTGAGGGACAACTGTATATCCCTTCCCTTTAGGTTCTGTTTTATAAATAGACAGACACCAGCGTTCTTATCATCTACTAGCAAAATTATGCTTCTGGTAATTAAGGTCAATCTTGAGCCCAACTTCTGGGATAATGCTATTTAACTGCTCATGGCCACCTTATGCACTTCAAGCTGCCAACATAAGAGGACTCCTCATGTAATTTCCCAGCTATGCTCCATCTCCTAGTTTTGGCACATGCACAGGAGCCCAGGGGTGCAACAGGGCATCCATGGAGGCCCTAGTACCCACAAGCAACACAGGCACAGGCAGGTCTCACCTCTCACAGCTTCATCCAAGGGGGCCCCTGCAGCAGGAAGGGAATACACATTCAAGCACTTATTAGCCAGGAACTGGATGCCTCTCACAGGTGAGTAAGTGCTTGCCAATACATTGTTTTCCCTTGAAAGAACCAAAAATGAACAACAAAACACACACACACAAAAAAAACATTTTGCACATTTCTCCAGAAAAACAATATAAATATTACTGAGTTCAAATGCTCTTCTAATCATTCAAGTTCTAAACATTCTTGACAGAGCCTCAATTATAGATTATTTAAACATGAGAACAAAGAACTGCACGGGACCACTCCTTAGGAATGATTGGCTTTTCCTACATTGTTTGTTTACATATTCTAGTAAACCTAAGCAATCATTTGACATGTTTCATTTTATATTAGTGAGTTTAAGGACTGGTAAGTGAAACAGGGCTGGGTATTCTAGGGCCCTAGACCTCCTGGACAGAGGAGTACGAGAATCTATAATGTCCCTGCTAGATTGCCATAGCCACAGACACTGCAGTTAGGAAAGGCAAAAGCTCCACGGTAAGATCAGGAATAGCAAAATCATGAAAAGTGAGTCAAATAATGAAAGGACCATTATAAGCCTGAAAGTATTAATTACATCTCCTTATCACTATAATGAAATGACATAAGTCAGCAATGGGAAAAGTTCACTGATCCTTAAAACCTGAGCTTTCATGTAGATAGGTTCAGTTCCTATCTACACATATGGTATCAGCATGGGAGGAAAATAACAAACAGTCTTTGGATTCACTAGAGCCCTGATCATACCTTTCTGCCTTGACTGTGCATGGGAGGGATAGCTGGATGGGCATTTGTTTCTTACAAAACCTCCTATTATTCTGAAGGGCTTCTGTAATCTAAAAAATATAGATATAAGTAGTTAAAAATAGATTTAGGTAGATATATTTTCTCACATACATGAAGATACACATTTCCAGTTTAAAAGGAACACAATTATAGTATAAAACCATTGCCCACAAGAATAAAATTCAAAGCTTTGAGACTTCACTACCTGTCTCATGGCAGCTGGAGGGATTTTCTCCCGGACATACTTCACATAATCAACTGTTGCCTCAAGAACTGAAGCTGAGTCATTCTTTCTTCCCTTGATATATGGCAACAGAATGCGCAGCTGCTCACAGCAATACTTGATTCGTTCTCTGATCAAAGGATTGTAATAAAGAAGGTAGTTAGTCTCATTTTATTCATGTGAAAAAAGACAGCAATCCTTCCTCCTGAGTAAAAGACCGTTTGTAAAAGAACTGTCCACACCTTTCCCCATCTAGTCTCTGTTTTAGGGAAAGACTGTATCCCCAGAAGCCAGCAGCCCTCACAGACCCTGGAATCACAAACTCTTAGGCCACCCACTCATATGCTGCACAAGGAGCCACTGCCAAGATGTGTCTGTATGTACACAAGCCCCAGATCCTTCAGCCCAGACCTGCTACAGTGTACAAGTGTCCATAACTGGGGGAGAATACACACACATTCCCTGTCTGTGCAAACCAACAGACATTCTGCCCTCTAAGCAAAGAATCACACAGACACAGACAGACATGCGCGCACACACACAAAATATCTGTTTGTTGAAATATATGTACGTATCTCATATATATATATATATATATATATATATATATTTAACACTAAAAACCTAGCAAGCAACAGTATCTTCATGTCACTTGGATTGGACCACATTTCCAACAATACATCAATTAGCATCTCATAATGCAGGTGATTATGTGGCTTGAGCCAAAAGAATGAGAAGACTGCTTCCTTTCTATGAGGTAGGTATGGACAGAACAAATAAATATGCAAATGGAAAGAACATCCAGGCCAGTGTTAGGAGGAAACTAAACCTTTCATGTGACTGGTAGTCTAAAAGAAATTTATAGGAGATGTAGATTTGATTAATTTAAGCTTTTAGTGCTTTCATTCATCCATGTGTTCAATTAAGAAACATTATTAAGTACCTGTTGTGTGTTACATATGGTGTAGGCATATAAAATGACTCTGCTAATTAGCTGGGATCTTATGCAAGATACTTAATTCTCTGGACCTTGAAATGACAGAGAAGTTAAATAAAAATGAAGGTTTGATATATATTCAATGATAAATATTCTAGATAAGTGGTATTTTTATTGGGCTTTGGGATCTCTGGGGATTCTGTAGAGGTGTCTCAGGAACTATTCTGAAAAGAAAAGGATGGGAGAGTCAACAATTTGACAAGTATGAAGGGCTTTGAAAGTTTTCATTCCCTTTAACAAGGTAATTTCCATTTACAAAGATTTACCCTAAAAAGACATTCTAAAACAGAGAAAACTTCATATAAAGACACCCATTATAGCTGTATATAAGTAAAATATATAAAACACATAACACAGAAAGATGCCCTAACTAGGGTATATATGTTCAGTAAAATATTATCTGGTCATGGAAGTAATATGTTCTATATAATATATAGTAATATAATAATAAATGTATATAATATAATATATA